AATGTTCTTCAAATAATCGAGCCCTTTTTGGATTGTCAATCCTTATAGGTCTCAATTTCATAGGCAGTATTTCAGAACCCTCAGTCCTCACTTCGTATTTCACCAAATCAGTATGTTCCAATTCGGATAAACTAAAGGTGAACATTTTTGATACTTCATTTATTAACCGCCCTTTTACGTGTTGTTTTTCTTCAGGTAATAGTTCAGACCCAAAGTTAAGTAAATCAACATTTCCTATTGTTAGTTTTCGTAATACTACTGGGTTCAATAACTTTGATTGTTCTTTAGTTTTAATCAGATTTTGACGAAATTTTCCCACATTGTCCAGAAATTCTAATTCATGCTCCTCCTTAGAGGTTTGTTCATCTTTTTCTAAAGATTGCCCTTTACATAATTTATTCTGATTAGTTTGACCTTTCATCATTCTATCACCTCTTTTTAAGGTTTGAATATCATTTTCGATTGTTTTAAATCTCCTTACGGCTATCACCTGATTAATTTCATCTTCATCTTCCTCACCATTTTCATCTGATTCATTATCACTTTCCCTTTCATCCCCTCTTTCGTTTTTATAGATCTTCTCTTTATCAATATCCATTCTAAGCATTACATGCACACCATCGCTTTTGTCGTTTTCATTACCTTTATCCATACTTTCTTCAATTTGCCCCACCATCCTTCCTAAACATTCATCATACCTTCGATTAAATCCACTTTTCATTAACAATCTTCCACCTTCGACATTTATCATATTCCATTCAAAGGCTTTCGCATTTTCTGGTTCAGTTTTTAATGATTTACTTAAATCGGTAAATGGCTTTTCAAATCCACTTTTCCAGCGATGAATTCTTCCATGATTACATGATGCAAATCCATCATTTTTGCTGTTACTGATTCCAGTTTCCTTTTGGTTATCACACCCAAGATTGTTTGCTCCTTCTACCCTTTCTGTCTCTCTTGAGCTTTGATAATCGATGAATAACTTATGTTCATTCCTTTCAATATTGATTCCATCAATTTCATGGTAAGCTGATCTTTGACGATCAATGAATGCCTTATGTTTATTTATTTTTACTCCAATTTCATCAATGCCATTTATACCAACTTTTTGATGATGGTGGAATGCTTTAGATTCATTTTCGACGTCAATTCCATTTACGTTACCTTCATCTTCTGATTTTTGCTGATAAATGAACACCTTACATTCATTCTTATTATTTCTAATTCCATATGGATAACAATCTCCAACATTACTACAACCTGTTGCTACGGATTTGATCAAGTTTACTTTACCATCCGGTTCTGGTGGGTCTTCAAGTTTTACATTAATCTTTTGACATGCTTTATCACTACTTGTCGAACAAATAATTACACCATTTCTATTATTTACATCGATTCTTTTTTTATCACTGTTTATCACTACCGCACCTCTATTCGTATTGTTTATATCTTCATTTGTTCCACTAACTATCTCCCTTCTCTGACTCATTTCTTCTTCGTTCTCAACCATCGTACACTTCATAATCTTAATACAATCGACATCATCATCAATATTATCGTTCATACCTCCATCTACGTGTAAATACCATTCAAGCCCCATTGGATCACCTGACTCAGTATTCGCCAGCTTATTCGAATCAGCGAGTGATTTATCAACTTCATCTGCATTTGACGACTTATAAACATTCTTTTCATCTGAGCTAGTATCCCCGAAGTTTTCATTTTTAGTTGGGTTATGGCGCGAATAGAATGCCTTATACTTTTCCTTTTCATTACCTATTCTACTAGGATCACCCATATCGGAGGATTCTTGATAATGAGTAAAAACTTTATATTCATCACTTCTAACACCTATTTCTGTATTATTACAGTGTTCAAGAACATGTTCATTCGAATTATCATCTTTATCGTCTCCAATTCCATAATGATGACAACGATCTTCATCATTAGTTTTGCCAACTTCACCCATACCTTCAGATTTTTGATAATGAATAATCGCTTTATGTTTATCCTTTTCAACATTGACATCATAGGCCTTTTTCATTTCAGTTTTTAGATCTGCCTAGGTATTTGTCTTTTTCATCAATCCACATACCCATACTCTCGCCCTTTCTGCAACATAAAGCCCAACAACCTTCTTCTTCTTGTCATCATCCCATTGTTTTGATTCAGCATATATTTCGAAATCAAAGAGGAAATCCTCTATGTCTTCATCTTCATTTCCATGATAAAGCGATTTGGTGAAGTTTTGAATTGACATGGTTGATCGTTTTCATAAAATGGATTGATCTTATTTATTTTTTTGATGGTTTATTTATTTAATGTTCTTATCAATGTTTTCTTATATATTAATGTTTCTTATATCGATTTATCACTTCTTGAGTCTCTTGACCGCTTCGTCCGAACTTTAACGTTGCGAGGGTACTTTGCTTACCCAGGTCCTTCTCTGTCAAAGAGTTAGGCAATCACCAAAATGACTGCTATCTACCTCAGATGGCTATAACTTTATTTTAGGTCTCGCTTGGCACTTGAGACGCACACTATACAACACACCACACTTCGGATCGTATATGTATTTACTTTATAACAACTTTTACTCAATTTCCAGTCCAAGAGACTCCCTGTATTTCTTTATTTTACATTCGTTATTTATCTAATTCTAACAATTACATAGTTTGTACTACACTTTTAACTATTTCTTTGTTATTAATCTATTAAACTTTTAATTATTCCCCAACTAATCATCATATTCATGCATTCGGCGATCATGGTACCTATCGTACCCGATCCCGATCATGTCCTGCCACTATGATGTTCCGACACGACCCCGATCGATCACATGATCACATGAGTCGTTCGATTCATATCTTCGTTTCACCCTTTTATTCTTCGACTCATTAAACATTTTGTTATCTATTTGCATACCTTTTACTAGGTATAAGAGCTCTTTGAAAACTATGCGACAAGTATGCATGTTGTAGCCAGAGTTGAATGTCAGTGGAGTTAAGTGAGATTAAGGATTGAAGGTTGCACTTTGAGTATGAGTTGATTATAAGAATGTGTGAGTTAATGTGTAAAAAACACAAGTTTGAGTAATTGTTGCTGTTCTTGATGGTTTTAATGAGCTGTTCAAGTTTCTTGAGGCCGAGATGGAGTGCAGTACATTGGGGGCTATATTTATGATTGTAACTGCGTTTACGTGATATTTTATTAGGAATAGTTTTAATTGCAGC